ACACTCTTCAATGACTAGTCTCTTCATATATCGCTGGTGCGTGTGCTTTATGCCATCTCGCCACTTCTGTTGATGACTAGTATGGCAGTTGTCTCAAACCCTGAGGCGAATTAAACTACTGTTTCAGTGACGGGGACCTGCTCTTCTTATTTGCGTCTTGGAGTCCGCCTTTTCGGGCATACCAGTCACTCACCTCGCCAATGTCGGTCAGGAGGGAGTACTTAAGGGTATGAATTACAATTGTGTACACATAGTTATCGTCGATGGATGTGGACTATTATGAAGTAGGCTTTCTAAGCAATCCAACCTGCTGCGAGGATTGCATACGGAAGAGCGAAAGTCAACCCCCAGACAAGCTGTTAAACCTTGTTGCCCGAATCAGCGCATTTGGCGTTGCGGAAGAGCTAGCTGCTCGGGCATCAATAACTCTGCGTTCAACGTCGATGATAACCACTACAAGCTCTACGCAGTGTACCATGCATATCGGTCTTGAGCAGGGTTCGCCCATACGTAGGCGTTGATTTGCAGGACATTTTCAAAGTTTTCTTTTAGTATAAAGCTTGTTTGCCTTGCCTACGAGAACTCGGACATAAGATTACCTGACAAGTAAATCAGTCTGGCATCTCAGATGACCACAAGCTGGCAACCCTTCCTGCGCGCAACACCATGCCGAACAGAAGGCCCCATTGCCAAAAAACAGCAAACTAATGTTGTTTATCACAGTTTATGTGCTATTTGCTCTTGCGATTAGGTTGGTTATCCAGACCGACGACTTTGGGCAGAACAGAAACCGACCATCCACCAACGTGATCAATTGTCTCGCATTTGCTAGCATCACATTAATTAAGACTGAAGTAAATGATCGGCATGGTTAAAATCAAGGAGGCGCTAAACTTTCCCGAGGCCTGACATTCTAGTATCAACTGCCACGTATATCCGGATACTCATTAAGAAGGTCTGCGTTCACGACTTACAACCGACCCAAAAAAGCCTGTTAATCCATGCCGAGTCATGCGAAGTCCATCTATCCCGCCCCCTCCTCCATCAGAGACGGCAAACCACAAGTGAAGCTTTTAAGACCTCCAAAATCGGCCGCAAATGCAGCAGTCACACAGAATCGTCACGCTCGCTTCTGCTACTGCTTTCTACTCCTGTCTCTAATGAAGCACCTGCAACAGATATCAAAACTTCAGGTGAATAAAGTTGTTTTCCTAACGATAGAATCTTCTTCTCACTCCCCTTCCTCCCCAACACAGAGGAAGAGAGCTGTAACAGTCCTCTTTTACCCTCTCACCGCCGCCGAAACCTACTGCAGTTATGTGTCCACCCTGTCTCTCTCTCACACAGTTGTCTGTCTGTCGCTTTCTGCCCTGTCGCGCCAATCAGTCTGTGCACGATATGCATTAGTAGGGGTGCGCACACATAACAAATGTCACGCATGGAGTGGGGTGGCACGCCTAGGTGTTGCTTCCCGCCGCATCAGATACTTGCGCTCTATCAGGCCTCAGGCATGGTCATGACATTGTGTCCAGGGAGGTAGAGTACGGCAGATGCTACGCAAGCCTACCCTTATTATAAACAAATTAATGCGCCATTCACAGTCCTTGTGCCCACCTTGTAGTTGACAACACTATGAAAATAATCGGAAACTATGGCCAAACTGTCGTGTATACATATATGGTAAGGAGGCTTGCTCAATGGTTAGAATATAATCTAGTCGCAAATTAGAACGCCTCCGTAGAGGACCGACGGTTTCGACTGAGATAACTAGTCCAGTTCACCGCCCTTAATGTCGTCGGTCGCACACGTCGTCAACAGTGGGACTGGTTTGCCGAAAAGTACGCAACCATCAGCAATCTGCTCTCCGAGAAGAACCAATTGCACATAGTCTACGGTGACTACCCTACCGAGTCACATAATTCAGCCTTCTACCGAAGTTGCTGTCTTGTAAAACAGCAACTGCGGAGCGCCTGAATAGCTCGTAATGTCGCGAAGATCCAAGGCTACGCGAAACACGAAGAAATGAAAGAACTTCTTCGCTGCAGTCAAGAATGGCTATGTTCCCACAGTCAAAAGAACCGCTTCTCTTTTTAGCGCTGACGGAAGTATCTTACTCATTGAGAAGACGCAAATTTCGAAACCCTGTACCGAGCACTTTCAAAGCGTCCTCAATGCTCCTCTATCGCATCCGATGCCGTCATCGACTGACTCTCTCAGGTGGAGATAGACGTCGATCTAGATCTCCCACCCACACCACCTGTCCAGCGAGAAAGAGCCCTGATCAGACGCGTTCCCTGCTATGATCTACAAACATGACGGCCCCCAACTAAACCTGCCTAAACTGTCTCATGTCGTTAACATATGTGTGCATAGAGGACACAACAGTGTCACCACGACTAACCTCCATCCGAAAACGCCTCTACCGCTTTCCAGTTTTGTTACCATCTACGCACCTCCAACTTCCTAGACACAGTCTTATTTTTTTTGCAGTGTCACTGTACATCCGCATACTGCATCGGCCTGATCTTACTCGTACTTGTACTTGTTACGGCTGTGATCATGCCTGATCTAGTCGGCCTCAATG